AGATGGCTCTGTCTTCATCTCCCCCTGAGATCAGAAGCACTGTTACTGCAGGATGCAGAAGGTTCCATCGCATTCTTGAATTCTTGAGGCAGCGTCTCTCAATCTCTCTCTCTCTCTCTCTCTCTCTCTCTCTCTCTCTCTCTCTCTTTCTCCCCCTCTCTCTTCCTCCCTCCCTCCCTTCTCTTTTCTATTCCTTGGTTTCTAGGAGATGCTAAGCTCTTAAAAAAAATATATATATATATATATATATATATATATATATATATATTCCCAGATGCAGTGTGCAGTGGTGATAGGTACAGATCATAAAACAAATGGATAAACTACATTAGTTCAGTTTTCTTTTTCCCTGGTGGTAATTTAAAACTTTTCAAAATTAGAACTAGTGGATATAGAGGAATGGGATGTAAATGTCCATGCATTTCTGTGATCAGAGACCGAGTCCTAAGGGTGGCACATTTAGCATTCTCTGCTATTAGGGAAGCAAAAAATAGTAAATTCAACGGAAGAATGTGCAAAGCTCTGGGATTTGAACAAAAACAGAGCATACCCCGCTCCACCCTGAACATCTCCCTGCTTCCAAACAGGATCTGAACAGATTTCATTTCACAAATGGAAATAGGATACAAACGAATTTTTTCAAAGTGATTTCATGAAGAGTGGGCCTGTTTAATTGGGTTTTTCGAGCCAGGATTAATATTATAAGCTGGGGAGCTCTGGGGTGTGCCCGTGTGTTTGGTTTTGCTGTACCACCTGCCTCCTGGGGGAAGGCAGAGAAAAGTGCCACCGTTCGGACACAATTTCTCTTCTGCCTCAGCCTTTCACTCAAGTTACTTAGAGCCAGCTGGGACCAAGCACCCAGACCTGATCTGAATTATATGTAATGAAGGAAAGATCTTCCCAAGCTCAAGGTCGTGTCTAGAGCATGCCTTGGATATTTTTTTCATCTCTAACTTATGTGACTTTCTAATATGTTTAGCATTTGCCTCTCCTCACCTCCATCCTGCTTATTAAGGTAAATTTGCATAGAAATGGGATCTTGGTTTTCAAGACCATTCACCTGACACTTGATCTCCAGAGGCATCCAGGGTCTGCTGCTGATACCATGAGGGTGACCCACAAACCCCACATCTTAATGTGATGCAAACCAGAAGCAAGGCCTTAATTAGGGGAAGCTTTGAGTGTTCGAGTAATGGGGTGAGTCAAATCAGCAAAGACATTTAGCATTCAGTAAGGAGGGCAGAATACACCTTCCTGGGGAGTGGGTCATCCTAGGTCACGAACATTTTAATTTGCCTTAGATGGATAGATCTTGAAGAAAGTGTACCACAAGTATGCATTTTTGTGGTTGGAAATAAGTTTGGACTGGTGATAAAATTCATACAGTTAGCAATGACATTTTACTTTGCCTTCTGGAATATTTTTTGCTTAATATCTATCTTTGGGATTGGTAATATGCATCTCTACAAATTGCCTTTGGAAGATCAAGGAAATGTGAAAAATCAAAGAAATGAGCCCCTTGCTATCACTGCCATTGCAGTAAGCTTTAATCCCCTGATCTCTGTCTGCTGTGGCCTCCCATCGGCAGCCACCGTCCTATTTACCCAAATCTTGGCAGAAATTCCCACTGAGGGGACAATTGTATTACAGTCCCAGTTTACTGGTCACTTAAAGAAAATTAGGTTTGGGGGTTACCAACCTAAAGGGTTTCAGACATAGGCAAATTTTGCAACACATAAATGCCCAATAGCTTTCAAGACTGTGTCCTGGCAGTGAGCCCTCTTAGCAAAGGATTCGAGGGTCATGAAGAATAAACATCACGTGTCAATGAGAGAAGTTTATAGGAGATGGGAGAAATCAGGAGAGAAGTTCTGCTCATTTTGGCTAGACTGCTTTTGCTGAGGATAAATTCATTCCATCAAACTATGTTAAGACATAAATATGACTTAGTTTAATTTTGTATAAAATTTTGCATCTATTTTTAATGTAATCTCACATCCTTATTAATTGAATATTATGACCCCACATTTTATAGATAAGGAAACAGAGACTCCAAGAGGTTTAGCTACTTGCACAAGATTATACAGCTATTCACCAACAAAACCAGGACTCAGCTGTCTTTCTCTTATATCCCCCACTGTCTTCTCAAAACAAACAAACAAACAAAACTATATTTCATTTGTAGGCTGACTTATTTATCTTTACACAGGTCTCATTTATTAACTAGAAGGGGTCAATATTTTAACACAAAAGTATTAAAATGAAAAATTTTTGAAATGTTCTTGGCGTACACCATAATAATAAAATAAGGAATCTGACTAATTGAATACCCCAACTGTAAAACCAAGATGCTTTCTACTCTCAAACCATGCAGGACGGAAGTTCCCCATTGGGCAGTGCTGTCTAATTCTCTTAAATGATTCAGATGTAAAAGAGACAGTGGCATCTGTCTAATTAACACTGCCTGTTTAAATATAACTGCCAAGGGACAGCCTCTGGACCATGTTTACAGAACAGTCTTTCCAGCCCCTCAGGCCTCAAGTCAGAGATGATAGCAAGTCTTCTTCCTTCCTTGTCAACCGGAAATGGAGATGCCCCAGAAATGGTGATAGGCCAGGACAGGCAAAGGGAGATGAAAGGAAAGGGGTAAGGCATCAATGTTTTTTATTTCCTGCTCCTGGCATCTGGAGATTCAGAGAATGATGCCAGGAAGCAGATCCTAAAGGCTCCGACAGCTCTTCTCAAAAACAAAAGCAAGCACTGTGCGCCTGCGCCTCTGTCTCCAGCCTGGAGACATTCGACCCCTCGCCTACCACCTGCAAAGATGGCTATGCAACACCATCTGCTCTGCTGCCCTTCTCCAGGCGGAAAGACACAATGACCACATTATTTCTCTTCTAGCTACGCGTTACAACATGGAAGCCATCGCCAAGTTTGATTTCACCGCCACAGGTGAGGATGAACTGAGCTTTCACACTGGAGATGTTCTGAAGGTAGGTGATGTGGGGCCCAGGGAGGCCATGGGGAGTTTCGGTTACTCTGGTCTGGTGACTGAGTTAATCTAACAATCCATGCCCTTGTTTCCTAAGCAGTACACACAGTTCCTTTTAAAGAGAAGTTTACCTCAATCAAAAGGGTTCCTTCTGAGCACCTGTATGCCATCTACCAGGTCAGGTGATGGAAATCCAGTTGGCATAAGCCACCATCCTTGTCTTGAGATGCTCGGGGTCTCGGGAGGGGGAAACAAATCCATCCAAAGGGCTCTTAGATGTTCTTATCTAAGAGGTTGGGGAGCACAGGTGAGGAACAAGTGATCCTACCTCTAAAGATGGGTTTGCGGGAACGTGTGACAGCATCAGTTGTCAGGGATGCAATGAAGGTGAGTTGGGCTTTTAGCTCAAGGTCAGACATGAGCAAATCCATGTGGAATTCTGTGGCTGGAACTTAGAAGAGGTGGCTGAGGGTGGGGACAGCTTGGGAAAGGCACTGGAGGAGACATGGCTCAACAGAGGCCATGCACACCTGGCCACTCAGGGGCTTCTTAAAAGCCAAGGAGACCTTGGACCACTCCCAGATTTCATGCCCCACACTTACAGACTGCATCTGAGCCCAATTTGTGCAGACGAGCACAAGCCCTTTGATAGGCCATTGGGGATTCTGTGATGCCAGTGTTCTGTGATGCTCTGGCCTCAGAGCACCCTCAGGTATCCTGATCCCTGGTCCTTAGCAGCCCACATGGGCCATCTCACACTGCCCAGCAGCACTGAGGCCACCATTGTCTCACCACTAAGAATTACACTTGCTTTAGAAAGAACCTTGTCAGTACATGAGAGAGTGACTCAGAAAGTGTCCGTGGAACACAAACCAGGTAGGATGACTTGGTTTGGAACTTGAACACCCCCAGTATTTATCCTTCTAAGTGTTCTTGCCTTGCAAGATCTAGTAATATGGTAGCAAAAAGTGTGCCTTCAATGTTGAAGCTTCTCAAGGTCAAAATGTCTTTGGGCTGCTAATCCAGAGAAAGGTGACCTTCATTTCTTTGGGATCTTACCAAGGTCACAAAGGAATCTGCCACATGGCAAGCAGTTCCTCTCTTCTCTACAAGGTATTGGTGGCCTTGTGACTCTAGCATGTTCTCACTCAGAAGAGGCTGGCAGGGGGCCAACTCCCATCCCTCACCTCCCATTGCAAACAGAACCTAATATCTTGCTTAAGTTTTCCCTATTCCCCAGAAAAGCAAAAGGAAAAAAAGAAGCTTTCCTCAACTCTGCTTCTCAATCCAGCTCCCAATTTCTTTCCTCTCTTATGCTGCCAATGCTGGGAAGGATTCTCTGTGCTGGGTGCCTCCATTCCCTTACATCTCATTCATTCCACAGGAACCCTCTGGAATCCGACTTTTACCCCCAACACTCCCTCAAAGTCTACCAGTGATCTCCTTAATGTGGAATAGAATGACCCTACTAAAATGCCTATAGAATGTGACACTGCTAACTGTCCCTTTCCTGGATCTGAATGGAGCTCTGTCTGACTCTGAAACACTGTCCTCTGCTCTGAATATTTTTCTTTCATGATATCTCTCAAGCAATCCCTTTCTTTGCTAGTGAGGAGCCTAATGCACTAAAAAAGAGCATGGACTTTAGAGCCAGATAAATCTGAGTTTGAATCCCAGCTTACTAGCTGTGTGGCCTTGGGCCAGTCACTTAACCCCTCTGAGCTTTAGTGTCTTTATCTATAATTGGAGGCCATATCTATCTTGCAGGGTCATGGAATGGATTAGAGGTAATGGTGCCATCCCAAAGCAGATGCTTAATAAATGGATACCCCTTTATCAGTATTCCTCATTCCTGCTGCTTCTGACTCTTCAGACTATCGCCACAGCCCCTTGACTAACCTCATCGCCTTCTGTCTCTGCCTCCTTCAATCATTCTACATACTATTCTCAGAGGGACCTTTCTAGAAGACAAATCAGATCATATCACTTCCTTACTCAAAAGCATTCAGTGATTCCCCATTACCAATTGATTGAAATCTAAGCCATCTGGCTCCAATCCACTGCCCAACCTCATCACTCACTCTCACACACACACACACACACACACACACACACACACACACACGCACGCTTCTGCCTCGGAACCCTCACTGATCCTCCCCCTACCTACTGCCCCTGGAAAATTCATCACTCCTTCTTCAGGTCTTCCACAGCATTTCACACACACTTCATTTGAGACACTTGTGATTCCGCCTCACATGACAGCCATTTATGGGCAGGCCGAGTCTCTATGCCCTCATGCAGGGTGCATCCACCTCTCGTTGCTGCCCTTACGCGGTGGGATCCTGATTGCCACTTATGTGTTGGCCACTCGCCAGAGCTCTGTAAGGGTGGGGACCGACCTGCCTCAGTATCTAGAACAGCAGAAAACTGACCCTCCTTGATATATGGTGAGCGAATGAATGATTGATTCTTCCACTGGTCTGTGAGCTCCTGAGGGCAGAACCATGTGGGGGTTGTCTTTGCATCTTCCCAACATCTAACACAAATCACAGCCCCAAACAGGTGCTCTGTACCTCTTTCCTGAATTGTTGAGTTTCTACATGCTCATTAAGAATTCCAACAGAAGGCCAAACCCCTCCTTCTTCTCAAATTCTGTCCATTGCATCTGTAGCAGTAAAGAAAAAAGTGGAGAGGGCTCCGCTGGCCGAGCCTCCCAGAATGTCTGGGTCATGGTGGTTAGTGGTCCTTGCCTGTGAGTCTCTACATGTAACTGCAATGTCTATCCCTCCGGCCAGAGCTGAGGAACACCCAGGAGCCTCACAGTTGTTTTCAAAGCCATCTCTTGACTGAGCCAGCAACCCACTCCCAGGATGCTCTTTTGTGTTTGGCCTTTAGTGCTAAAAGACTAAACAGACTTTTTCATTAGAAGGTACAAAAGATGTCTGCCCATCTCAGCATCAACCTACCCCCTCCAGATGGTAAGCTCCTCAGGGCGAAGGCCCCAGCTTATTCATCTTTGTATGCCCAGCACCTGAGTGCAGACAATAGGTGCTCACTAGGTGCCAATCACAGAATGGTGAACAAGATGGCGGACAGGGAACTCATGTCAAATGACTTGATACCACTTCTTCTGTGAGAGAAACATTTGAAAAGTCAGGAGCCGGGTGTTTCGTGTTCATGTTACAAACCTCTGCACCTGCAGCTGCACACAGCACCAGTTGAATTTGTCAGTCATTTAAAAAAATGTCTCTTGACCCAGTCTATTTCTATCTGCTTCTGTAATATGTCTAACTCAACCTCATTTCTTCCTACTAAAATAACGACCTGAAAACACTAGGAGTTAATCCTACGTTATTGACTTCTTCAGTACTTCAGATTTCTGCTATGCCTCTAAGAGCTGTAATTCCATCCAATTTTAAAATTCTTCCCACCATACATTTTGTCCTCTTTCCACATCTAACCTAGTCTCAGGCCATGTAACCCAGAAATGTATTCTCATAGGCCACATTGTAAGAATTAAGATACAGTAAAGTGAAGTGTCAAACCTCGTGGGCTTAGGCTGAACTCCTTGCTCAAGTTTATGTGATGGGTACAAGAGATAGGGGAACTGAATAGATGGAGAGATGAGAACAGGAAGTCTGGGGCCCTGTGCCAACAACGGCAGGAGGAAACCGCCTCTCCCCAAATACTCTTCTTTGCAGAAGATGGATTTTTTTAAAAACTTTTTTTTCTATACCAAAAATAGCCTGAAAACTCACCTCTCTGGGAACATGATCTCAGGCAGACCAAGCACCAGGTGGTGAAAAGAAATGGCTGACATTGTGCAATAATCTTTCAGTTGTTGGAGGAGGTAGATGGGTGTGAGCCACGATTACTGAAATTACACCTGGTTTCAGGTCAGAGTACCAAGTACGAAGTGTGGTTCTTACTGTGATGAGCCAATTTCCTCATCCCTGCTTACCCTCCTATTTGACATTCGCCACCCAGGCCAAACTCCAAATTCTCATGTGACGGGAGAAAGGGATTCTGAAGCCCTAAGTCCGGGGGAGATGGCATGGAGTGAAATGTCCTCGTGTTCTTTATGTGAATACCAGGCACTGGTACCAAGTTTCCTAGTTCTTCTTCTGACCTAGATTTTCTACTCCCCGCCCTCCTCCACTCCCCTTAGCATACAGATACTCACACGTCCTCAGTGAAACCAACAGTCACATTTGATGTTAGAAACCATAGACTTTTCTTTTCTCAGCAATTCTATAACTCAAATATGGGACACACTTTTATTTCTTCAGAACCAATGATTAAATTCAAGACATACACATAGAACACTTTAACGAACTTATAAAACCCTTCCATGTCCTTCAGAGCTGGAATCCTCCCTCATAAGAACATCACATTTTACAGAATTGTATTTTTGAAAAACAGCATACACTTTCTGAAGGATTTCCAGCTACCAGGGCTTCTTTGATCCTCCCCTCAGCTCTGTGAGGCACTAGCCCATTATTTTTGTCCCCATTTTTCAGATGGTTCATTGGCTTGCCAAAGGTCATACAGCTAGGGACAGGGCCAAGCTAGAAACCAGATCTTCTCATTCCAAGCTCAACGTGCTGTCCCATTCCTTCCACCTTTTGAGGGATATTGGAAATAGGTCATCAGCGCTTCTCAATTACTTAGCTCTCTAATTCTCTTTCCATCTCTGGGAGAGAGAACCCCAGGAGACCCATGACATCAACTCCACCTGCTTTCTGATGACTCTGAAAGCCCAACCTCTCTGCTGAGTCCAGACATAGGTCTTCCACTGCTCACTGAGCTTTTCTTCTCAGACAGTCCCAGGGGCAACTTGGACTCACCCACTTGCAATCTGAGGCCCATGAGTTTTTCCTCAGACCTGCTCCTCCTCCTGTATTTTCTATTTTAGTAAAGGCATCACCACCCACTCAGTCTCCCAAGCCAGAAATCCAGAGCCCTCCCAAAACCCCCTTTCTCCCTTAGCTCCATGAATACTCATGAAATCCTGCCCATTTTGCTTCCTGGCTCCTCTACAATATGTCATCGCCTCTTCTTAACCCAGATCCACTTCATCGCTCACCTGGATACCTACACTCGTCTTCCTACAGTTTCTCCCTCAACTTTACCCCTTCAGTCCATCTTCACACTCAGATGCAACACTGTTTCCTAATGCTAATTCTCACTGGATTATTTCTCTGCTTTAATGGCTCTCATAAATTTCAAAATAATCCAAACTTTTCAACATAGGCCACAAGGCCCAGTGCCCCTGGTTTCTCCCTCTCTCTACTCCTGGGGCCACGACCTAAGCTCCCGCCAGACTGAGGCAGTTTGCTCCCAGAATGCACTGCACTTCCTCATAGCCCAGAAGTGGTTGTCTCACCATCACACTTCTCCTGGGTAACTCCTGTCATTGACTGGGCAACCCAGATGGCCTCTCCTCCAGCAGTCTTTCCTATCCATCTTCCACTTTCCCCTTCATCATAGCATTTCCATCAGTTAAGACATTTTCAGGTACAAAAAAAAAAACAGAAACTAAAAATGGTTTAAACAATAACAAAGATTTATTATTTCTCATCCAAAGTCTAGAAGTAGGCAGGCTGGCTAATTCAGTGACTCAGTGACATCATCAGGGTTCTTTCCATCTTTTTGCTCTGCCCTCTTCATTTTGAATTATCATTCGAGTCTATGCCACATAACTTTAGAAACATTCTCAGAGCGGGGTGCGAGCAAATACTTGTCTTTTAATGGTGACACATTTTCTGAACTAACCAGAAGCCACATAGAGCCAAATCTGGCAAGTCACATGAGTCATCCAGGTAGGTGACAACATTTGGGATCATGGTCAAGGTAGGCTCAGACAGTAACAAGACAAAACTTCTGGTTTTGCCTGTGACCCGGCTCTAGAAGCAAGTTTAGATAAAGCTTTCCAGATGCCCCGAGTTGTGTCCAAATTGTGAAAACACGCGGAGGTATGAACACTGTTACTGTTTTCAAAGCTGGCCCCACTTAGATGTTTGAGTTTTAATCTGCTTGTTTAAAAAAAAAAAAACAAAAAACTAGAACACACTAAATTTTTAAAAGGTTCCTGGTTACCTGGCAGAGAGGAAAAAACATGGAGTAGCCACCTTTGCCTTCCCGCCATTGGCCCAGACAACGAGCTTACTGTGTTGCGGTCTGGGATACATGAATTTCCAAAATAGAAAGAGAAAGGGATTCAGGGAAGCCCCCCCAGTGCTGAGTCTGGAAGGCCACGCCATGGTGGGGTCACAGGCAGGGGTGGGTGGCTCTCATGGACAGAAATAGCTTGGGGTCCAGAGACACTAAACCCCAAAGTTAACCCTGCTGCTCCCCTACTACAGCAGCTGTGTGGTTTCTTTGATGTATTTTCCTCTAAATCCAAAAGGGTGTTCTGCACCCTGTAGCCCCTTTCTTTTGTTTCTTGGTGTCCTCCCTACAGTGTCTTTGTCCTTCATTCTCTTCCGTGTAGATCTTGAGTAACCAAGAAGAATGGTTCAAGGCAGAGCTTGGAAGCCAAGAAGGATACGTGCCCAAGAATTTTATAGAGGTCCAGTTTCCCGAGTAAGTATTTCCAGCCTGCTGAGAGGGGCCTACCCACATCCCCTCCCCCCGCCTTACTTCTCCAGTAGGCGCTAAAATTATCCATACACACCCAAGATACTGTAAATAAAGGTTGCATCTGGAGAGGGAACCATGCCACTGAAGGCCAGGGGTGGGAGGGAGATTTGCATTTGCATTCTCTTTTGGATTTTATACCATGTGCACGTATCGTCTATTTTAAGTTTATAAACTAAAAGCATCTATAATTGTAGTCACAGGATTTCTAAGAATTCCAGTGGGGGTGCTGTGGGCCACTCTGCTTCCAGAGCTGCTACATCAAGGCAGTTCTCCATTATCTCCCAACCCACCTTTCATCCTAACTGGGATCCCAAATCGCCCTCGGCCCTAATCAGGCATGTGGATACTCCCTGTCTTTTTAAAACCATGCTGGCATCAAAGAAAAGAGTCAGTGAGAGAAAAGGGGAAAATCTCTTCATAAAGAGGAAGTGAGAAATTGAGATTGAGTCTCGTAGGTCTCAAGAACTGACCACAAGGGTTAGATAGAAATCTAATCTTGTCTGAGCATCAGGGACTAGCCCAAAAGGCAAAGGTGTGCTAGAAAACCAAAGTGGTATTGGTGACTCTTGGGGGAGATGCAGCAGCGCCTCTCATCATGAACCAGGACTGACCACCGCACCAAAAGAATGACCACTGACCTCAGCTGGGCCCTTGATGCTGTCCTGTAATCTTCGGGATGACCGCATCATCATACCTTGCCTGCTCTCAAACCTCCAGCCTCTCCCCCACCACACCCTCAGCTGACAGCCTTGCTTCCAGATTTACTGAGACAGTGGAAGCCACCAGAAAAGCCCCTGTCCTCCAACCCCCACCTGACTCACTGCGTCCACCCACCTCCTGCAACTGCGCTCAGACACTGCCTTTCCTGCTGCTATTAAGGAAGGAACTGCCTGTCTGTGCTTCTAGCAGAAATTCTCCCCCCTCTCTTTCCCACATCAACTTTCTTTCCCTCTCTGTTCCCTCATTCCCGTCAGCAAACAAAGATGCTGCAATTTCTCCCATCTTACCAAAAACCAAAACCAAAATACAGCAAAAACACTCTTGTACCCAAATCTCCTTCTAGCTACCTCTGCACTTTTTCAGAAGAAGTGTTTATATTCGCTGTCTCTAACTGCTCCCCTCCCATTCTCTGTGGAATCCCCAGGACTCCCTCGAACCCTTTTTATCGAGCAAGGTCCCAGTGGTCGATTCTCCATCATCATCTCAGCACTGTTTGATGGGGGACCTTTCCCTCGCTCCCGTTGACGCACTTTTCTCTCTTGGCTTCCGGGACACCCTTCCTCCTGGTTCTTCTCCCACCTTCCTGGCTGCTCCTCGCCCGTCCCCTCTGCTGCTTTCTCCTCCTCTTCCCAATCTCCCTTAGGCTTAGAATATCCCCCTCCCAGTGAGGGCCTCTCTGTCACCATATTTTAAATTCCTCCCCCACTCCCCATCTCTCCTGTTTGTTTTCATTGTCTCCATGGCATTTATCATCATCTGACATACTATATATTGTCATTATTCTGTTGTTTACTGTGTGTCCCCCACCCCTCCCCACTAGAATGTCAGTTATATGAGGGCAGGAGCTCTTATCTGTTCTGCTCACTAGTACATCCCCAGTGTCCACAGGAGGGCCCAGCACTTAAGAGATGTTGAATGAGTGAATGAATGAATGAATGAATGAGTGACTTTAGAATGATATGTAATATTGAAACCCTGGCCACTTATATAATATGTAGTGTGTGGACATTTTTGCAAGTCTTGAAAGAAGTCACTTATCAAATTCCAGTTGAAGGACAAGTGTGTATTTTCTAAACAATCCCCTCACTGCTTGCGGCCTCATCTGAAATAGTGCCTCTGAGGTATAGCTGCTGTGGAGCACGTCCCATTCTTTTTGCCATCCCCATTATGTTTCCTACACCAGGCAATGCTGTGGTGGTCACTGGTCAGCCCCATAGGGTTGTGTGGCAAATACACTGGCAAGACCTCCAAGCAAGCGACCACCAGAAACCCTCTGCTCCCAGTCCCTCAGAGCCCAACCTTCCCTGCACCCCCTGGTCTGGAATAAGGACAGCCCCCCTGCCAGCCCTGCCTGTTCAGGCTCCTAAATTCTAGAGAGCACAGGTGATTCTCACAAAGGAATCACAAGCTGTGGCCCGTTAGACATTCACCTTATAGGGGAAGCACATACCAGTCTTCCGTTGGCAGCAATTAGGGCAGCCGCCCTGGAGCAAAGGGGCACAGTCCCACCTTTGGCCTCTGAGTGATTGCAAACATTTGTTTCCCTCTCCTGTGGCTGTGGAAGGTTTCTGGCCTCCTGCCCTGAGGCTGTAGCCACCATTGGCCTTGCCTCTGTGGAAATACTTGGCCCTTTTCTGTTCTAGGTACTTTCTCAGTAGCGTCTTTGCTGCAGACATTTCCCCTGCATAACTAATTATTGGCTGAAGGCAATTTTGCCATTAAAATAAGATAAATAACTGTTTGACAATTTGGGTTCTTTTTTCTGGTTTGGTTTCATTTCTCTATTGATGAATCAGTCAACTGCCATAAAAAAAAGATAAAATAACGGGTTGACAGTTTGATTTTGATTTTTTTGTTTGTGTGGTTTCATTTCTCCGTTGACAATCAATCAATTGCCTTAGGCAGACTTAATGCATTTAAGCTTGTTGTCAGTTTGGTTTCATTTCTCCATCTACACGTTCTCACAGTTACTCCCATTTTTATATTATCTATAAATCTTAAGCCCTCATAATGGTCTATCCAGTGGTGAGTAGACGAGTAGACATGGTGGTGGTCTTAAAATCGTTATTGACAATGATTTGCCCCAAGAATTAGTTTCTTATTTTGAAACACTAGTGGGAAGAGAAAGAGAGGCCAGGGCCCTCTTTGAGGGTGCAGAGTTGAACCCACATTTCCCATAGTACAAAAACAAGTGCTTAGAAGGGCCGGCTGAGTGGCTCAGTTGGTTAAGAGCTCGCTCAAGAGTTTGAGCTCTGAGCAACAGCGGTTCGAGTCAGCCCGAGCTGAGTAGCCGTGAGCTGCCAACAGGTGGCGGGATGGCTCAGCTAAAAAAAAAAAACAAGTGCTTAGATACAATCCACGAAATAAAATCAGTTACCTGCGTGGTATTGCCAGGAAGCTACACACGTTTTAAATACCAAGGGTGCCCGAAAGAATGTATACACATGACTGGTATTCATCTTTTATTATCGGTATATTTTGAGTATTACAATTTAATACAGTTTTTTTCCTTTCTTAAAGTGTGTATACATTTTTTTGGCACCCTCTGTATCTTAAATAAAGTCTCTTTAATTATGTTCTTTAACATGTTGTGATTTTTATCTTTTTTTACGGCAACATTGCCTTACCATCAATTAGTTTTGCAGTTAAAATATTTAAGGCGAAAAGTGCTTGTGGCAAAAATGGTTGCTGCAAAGTTGTTTACGGCAAAAGCTTACGGTGAGAATACTGACGGCCTTCTTCATACATACCGCGCCACCTGCAACAGCTCCTGGGGGCTGCCACTATCCCCACCTCCCCCTTGAAAGAGCAGCTTCTCCTCATTTTCTGCTTTTCCACAATAAAGGTTATTTCCCCAGGAGCTGGCTGTGTAGACGAGGCTCTCTGGCTCCTGCCAGCCCCTCATTTCCAGGTGCGTGCGCAGGGCTCCCAGGGGGCCTTGCAACCTCTGCCCAGCACACTGAGCAAAAAAGCCCTTCTTGCACCACCCACCCAGGGAGCACGGGCCCCTGGGCTGTCACTCTCCTTCCAGGCCAGTGGGGTCTCTGCCTGCCAGACTGCAGCCAACGCCCTTCCCAGCTCCACCCATTTGCCCCCCACCCCGTGCCCTCCTGGCACATGGGGTGTCCCTGCAGCTTTCCTAGCAACATCCCTCACGTAGCTGCCAGCAGGCGGCCACTTCCTGCAGTGAGTCACTCCCACACTGTCCCATTCTGGTGCAGTGGCACAATTCCACGATTCAGGTTTTCTGAGCTGGAGAGAGGCTTCTCCTGGAGGAAAGACCAGAGAGGGAGCATCACAGGGAACTCACCTGATGTGCCCGAAAACTGCCTGGAGCATTTGTTTGGGTTCAAAGGTTCCTGGCCCCTTCTCTTTCTGCTCTCTCCTGAGCAGCGTCCCCAGCCTCTTTCCCAGTGGGTCATCTCTCCTCCACTTCCCCCCTCTATCTCTCTGGCATCTCACCAAGATCCCCTGGTTTTCTCTCACCCAATAGATGGTTTCACGAAGGTCTGTCACGTCACCAGGCAGAGAACTTACTCATGGGCAAGGAGGTTGGTTTCTTCATCATCCGGGCCAGCCAGAGCTCCCCAGGGGACTTCTCCATCTCCGTCAGGTACTGGCCATTCCCGACGCTGCCCTGACACAGACTGCTAACGCCATGAGGTGATCTCTTGCATGTGACCTATTGGTTAGAAGCATGGTGGCCAAGGGGCCCCAGCATCTTATCAACTGTGATGCCATCCATTTCCTTCCCATAACGCATGTGCATGGGTTTGTGGCCAAATTATGTGTACATTCATCTGCCTCTTCCTCTAGTCCAGGTGCTTCTGGAAGGACAGGATTTTTAGCTACTTCATCTTTGTGTCTTTTACAGGGCTTCATACCCAGCAGGTGCTCAGTGAGTGTTTGTGGAAGGAAGTGGGGAGGGAGAAAGAAGGCAGAACTCCCAATTGTCCACATCCATCTTGGGGTCCAAATCTTAACTTTTTCTTTTACTACTGATGGATGTCTGAAGAAGGGTCAGAGAGAAATAAAAACCCCAAGTCACTGCTGTAGGATACATATGGAGTTGGAGGTGGCTGCACAAAAGGAAGGACTACCTCGAATGCATTGTAATGCAGCAAAACTGAGAGCAACAGAGCAGAGCCCAGGACGGCTGGAGGCAGGGACTGTAACAGCACAATCTCGGTAACATGCAGCTCCCCAGAGGAAGTGAGTGAGTCAGTCCAGGTAGAAACATGACACAGCCCCACACTCAGAAGCCCCAAGGCTGAACACACTTCTTGTGGTCAACGTGTCGGGTTGCAAGTCACGTATCAGATTTGGTGACCACATGTGAAAATGCAAGAATTAATGCCAATTACAGTATAGGAGGAGGATGACAACCTGTACAGTGAAACCTACTGTCTAGTTGACAGGAAATGCTGGTTTGAACTATTCAATATGTTTTGAAAGGCATGCAGCTTGAGTGCTTTAAGTCCATAAATCCAATCTTGGGTAATAAACTGAGGTCACTTTACTATTTAGAAAGAATGGATATTTGAAGGAATAGGTAAGAGGGACTTACGAGATGTGATCAAAAAATGCAGTGAATGTTTAATTTTTTTTTAAATTTATTAGAGTAAAAGACACATTGTCATTATCCCCCTCTCTTCGAACACACTTATCCCATCATTCTTGCCACTCTCTGAAGCTGTTCTGGAAGTCCTCTTTTGCGAGTGTCTTTAGTTGCACTGTCATGGCTGCCTCGATGTCCTGAATCATTTTGACTTTGGGGAAAAGCCAGAAGTCACATGGTGCCAGATCCAGTGAATAAAGTGGATGAGGACACACCATGATGTTTTTATTTGACAGAAATTGCCCTACCAGAAGCGATGTGTGACATGAAGCATTGTCATGATGGAGGATGAAACTGCCCATTTCTCAGGCCGTTTTCTATGTGCATTGTTTCTTAAATGCTCTATTAAGCCCTTATGATATTCAGAGTTCACCATACTGGTCCTGGGTACAAACTCAGCTTGCACAATTCCATCAAGGTAAAAAAACACAACATCACCTTGATGTTAAATCTTGACTGACGTGCTTTTGTCACATGAGAACTGGGTGATTTTCAGTGAGAACTCTGAGCCTTGGTCGAGACGGTCATAACCATAGACCCAAGTTTCATCTCCCATAAGGACATGTCTTAAAAAGCTGGAATCTGAAGTGGCATGATCGATTGTGCAACTCCAATGAAATTGACAAACACTGTTGCTTTTGTTTGACAGTCAAAACGCATGGAACAAATTTCACACTCACTCGCCTCCTGTTCAAATCTGCTGTTAAAATGTTTTGAACAGAACCATTAGAGATGTTCAGATCCTCAGAAATTTCCCTAATAGTTGATCGACTATTTGCTCGAATCATTTTTGCTTACTCTTTCAACATTATCTTGGGTTTTTGATGTTTAAGGACATCCCAATCCCTCCTAGTCTTCAATCGATTCATAACCATTATGAAATCACTTGAAGCATTTGAAAACCATCTTCATGGTCACTGCAGCATCACTAAAAACTAATTTTAACATTTCATGTGTTTCTTTAGCACTTTTTTGCAGTTTGAAACAAAATTTCATATTAATGCATTGTGATCCATGATTTACGGCACACTTTAAAACACACCTTCTGTCAACCGTAGCTCACACTCAACTGACTGCACTGAACAAGTTGAAACTTGTCATACACTGTTACTAAGGTTCGATGCACCGCTTCCCATATTGAAGATTCCTGCCTATCTGTCCATTGGATGGCACTCGGCAGCAGCATTCATTGTATTTTTTTACCACACTTCATACAAATAATGGGTCAACCATTTATATGCACATGAGCCTCTAAAGTGCTCAAAAATTACTTGATCTTGCAGTCTTGCTTAAACTCTTGATTTTCCTTAACTAAAATTTTCTTCTTCACAGTTTGGGCAATGACAAATTTTAGCTCAGGCCAATATTGATGTATCACAAATTCTAAGCTTGTTAGGTCTTAATTAATACAATTTTGTTCTGTTAATAAATCTTACAAGTCAAACCTATTTTGTAAGGGCCCTGATTATAGACAGAACCAAGTGAATTGTTAGATTTAAGGGTATCTCTTGGTGCCTTTGGTTTGCATGAAGTTGATGCTGGCTTTTTCAGCTAGGAACTACAGTTTATGTTTCCTCTATTAAAGTTAATTCTACAAAACAGGCAGCCTTGACTTCTGCCAAAATCTTCCCCTGCTATTGAGGCATTGAAGCTTCTTGTTATGGTGATTATTACCATAGTCATTATTACGTCTTCTGTAGAAATGTAGTATAATGTATTCCAGAGCAAAATCGTTTTTATTTATTTATACATCTGCTTTCTGTCACAAGCACAGATAATTAAGAGCCAATTGTAGTTCTATCACTTAGCATTTGTTAAGGGTCTGAAACACGAGCTATATCCTTTTCTCTGACCCTCTCAGAACACTCTCCCTCCATCGGCCCAGATGACCAGCTGCAACCCTGCCATCCATCCTCTCAGCTCATGAGAGTGAAAGGGTTAATGTGTCTCACTGAGTCCTTTGACCCAGAGGCAGTGGATGAATAATTATACCACAAGGATGTTTCCTCCTTCTCACCCAGATGTGAGGGTAATGACTGTGAGTTGAGCCATGTGGTGTTAGAGTGAAGAAAACATCTGTTGATGGCCAAAACCAAGGGGAAGGCCATGCAGTGATTGCAGAGTGTCGGTTACTATCCCAGAGCTGCCCAGCAGAGGTGATGCATGGGTTCACCTGGCCATGAGCAGAGCCCACCTTATAAGATAAGACTGAAGATCAGAATTCCTGTCCCCTCTGAACATGGACAACGAAGTCCATCCCCAAGAAACCTCCACTAACCTTCACAGGTGTCTTTATTCTGCCACACTGTAAATTCTTGACTTTTCTGCTGGATTGGGCAATTGGTACCATTAATTAGCACCAGTTAATTTTTAGATATAAATGTATGTCCATTTGACAAATACACTTGAAATCTGAAGGACAGTGACTTGGTGAGGAAGAAAGACTGAAGGTATTAGTAAAGGTCCAGTCCCGTTCCTGATGAAAAAAAATCCAATCTCTCTAATCCTGGTACAAATGTGCCCCATCCTTTGTGAGTCCAGCTACTGTCAAAATGTGCTGACCTAAAAGAAGTTAGCAAGTGTACATGGTGTGACAGGCCCAGCTCACTAGACTGGAGTCAGAGGCCAGCTCTTGCCTCAGCTCTGCCATTCACTGACAGTGACCTTGACCAAGCCCTCTAACTCTCTGAGCCTCAGCGTCCTTAGCTGTAACATAGAGACATAAGGCTAAACAATTTCTGAGATCCGATTAAAATTCTACAATTCTGTACAACACTTCCCCACCCCCAAAAGCTCCAAATGCTTTGCAACCTTATTTATGCAAAACATAAACCAAGAGCTCTCCCTTATGTAGAGAACAAAGTATGACAAGTGTCTTATCGTCCAGAGCTAGTGTAGGGCCTTGAAGGAGCTGGTTCAAAGTATTTCTGAAAACAGAAAGATAATGAGGGCTTAAAAAATCCCTCCCCTCTGAGTCTTAGCAGAGTCTTTAGCATACATAGTACAGGACTCAGGGGTTGCCACATTTCAAATAAACATTATAAAAAGGTCCTTAACCTCTAGTTTTTAAAGCACTTGGAATATTTTCTTCTTGTAATAGGTCGGCTCCCTCTTGTGCAGCCTGTGTCCCGAGTGGTCCTTTCTGAATCTGCCCCTGGAGCTTGACTGGGCTCCTCACCTTCTTAATGATAGGGAAGCCACCCATATCTCCATGTCCTGCCCTAACAGAATTCTGGCATCCCTGGGCGCAGTCAACCCTGGGGGCGAGGACATTGTCACCACGTAACAGTTTGGATTTGCCTCGATCTCTAGGCATGAGGGTGATGTTCAGCACTTCAAGGTCATGAGAGACAACAAGGGTAATTACTTCCTGTGGACAGAGAAGTTTCCATCGCTAAATAAGCTGGTGGACTACTACAGAACGACTTCCATCTCCAAACAGAAGCAGATCTTCCTGAGGGATAGAACCCAAGAGGATCAGGTACGCTTCAGATCCCCGTCAGACCAATCTAGAGATCCCAGGCAGCTGGAGTCCTACCAGGACCACCATGATGAGGCGTTTGATGGGCAGGTCCTCTGGCGATTCCAAAAGGCAGAATAACCTAAGTCAGATCTCAGTTTACTTGCTAGCTTTGTGACTTTGGAAAGTTCTCCAATCCTTAGTTTCCTCATCCATAAAGTCAGGATGTTAGTGAGAGCTGCCTCATAGAATGGCTGCGAAGGTTAGGAAGGTAACATGTCCCCTTCCCTTACATCATTCCTCATGACAACTGCAAGCACTCAAGGTGCAGTTGCTCTTATATGGATGCTGTTATTTTGTTACTCACAGACATTACTACATCATAATTGTTTTGGCCTAGCTAGAGCTTTGTGACAGGGTTTGAGGTGGGGGGAGGCATTGGAGGAGAAAACTGGACATGGAATTCTTGCTCTTGGAACAATTTGGAATATAGAATATTGTTTTCACAGAAAATACATCCAACAGACCTGGCTTTAAATCCTGACTTTATTGCTAACTATTCTTATTACTTAGCCCAGTTCAGTAACCTTTCTGAGCATCAGTTTTCTCATCTGTAGAATGGAGACAATATAATGCCTTCCTCGCTAGGCTATTGTGAGGATTAAATGAGATAATACAGTTATAGCACTTGCCACGGTGTCTAGTTCATTGTAGGCACAAAGAAAATATTAACTTGCCTCCGTAAGCCAATTCACACATACACACACACACACACACACACACACACACACAATTTATAAAATATTTTTCAAAGAAAAAAAAAATATATATATATATATATATATTTTTTTTTTAGCTGAGCCATCCTGCCACCTGTTGGCAGCTCAGCGGCAGCTCAGCTCAGCTCAGGCCAGGACTCAAACCACTGTTGCTCAGAGTTTGCACTCTTGAGCGAGCTCTTAACCAACTGAGCCACTTGGTTATTTCCTCAAAGGAAATAACATGGTTATAAGAGACAGGTATTATAGGAGGAAGCATTGATGGAATAATTGAAATTCCAGGGGCAGGTTATTTGAAAAGGCATTGAGACTTTCAAAGCAACACGTGCTTTGGGGAAATAAAGAAAACCATCCCTTTCAAGTAATCGCCTGATTTTAAGCCTGAGAAATTACAATCAAAGGAGAAAGGGGGGTTCCTGCCAAGTGCACACAAAAGTTCAGAAAGAAAAACAAAGGTTAACCAAGACCTTGTGAATTATTTCAACCGGGAAATGGACAGAGGTATTAATTTACTAGGACGTGCATGCAGAGATAAGAGAAGCAACATAAAACTGCATTGAAGTGGATTAAATAAGCTCATATCTGTAAAATGCTTAGAACAGTGCCTGGCATATGCTAAGCCCAGGGCCCTCTGTAATTGCTAAATAAAAATAACTAGAAGTATCTCAGATTCATGAGGTTGTAGCATTAGGAAGGCCCTGCTCCTCCCAACGTGCCCAGTGCAGGCCTGGTTTCCATGGCTGCAAGAGTGTTGTGTTTGGGTCTCTATCACCAGGCTATAAATGACAGTTCAGAATGATGCAAAGTCAATAGCAGAGCTTATCTGGAGGGTAGGATGTCCACCAGTGTGGCAACATGCGATAAGGAGTGGTGGCATTGTGTCAGTAAAATAGAATATTTAAGCCTGATTACACAGAGAAAAACAAGCCCACAAGGAATGGACTAAATGGGCACCATGTGGAAAGTGTCAGTCTGCGAACCAGAGACCTGACATCCCCAAAGTAGAAGAATCTGAGAATGCAGAGGCCACTTCTGAAAACATGAGGGCCTGAAGCATTGGCTCTCTTTCAGCTGCGCCTCACTCACTCTTCATCAGCTGTTTCTTGGAGCCGCCATGAACAAAGTCTGGAAACAGCTGCCTGAAACGTGGGGTAGGGCCAGGAGATGCAAGAGGAGGAGGATGGATCCACATCATCTTTGTTCTCTCCCAGGGTCGCCGGGGCAACAGCCTGGACCGGAGGCCCCCAGGAGGTCCACAACCACACCTCAGCGGCACTGCAGGAGAAGAAATCCGGCCTTCCATGAACCGGAAGCTGTCAGATCACCCGCCACCCACTCCCGCGCAGTACCCCCCCGCCCCACCACCCTCACAGCAGCGGTACCTGCAGCATCACCACTTTCATCAGGTATCCGGAAAAAAATGAACCCGGACACAGTAAAGTGGGGAGAAGGGCCTTCTCTCCCCCAAGGCTCGGGCCCTCTCGTCCCTAATGCCACTTAGTATGTGAAAACTCCCCGCAAATGCTGGAAACAGCCATTGCAAAAAGCACTGGGGGTCTATTGTATTCCCCAGACTGTTTGGGGGTTGGGGGGAGTAGGGAGGAACATCCCAGGCCCAGCCCACCCTCATTAGGTCTCACTGAGCTCATAAAGAAGGTCCTGGGCCCCCAAAATGGCAGAAATATGATATGGAAACTGCTTTGGCAAAGAAAGAAGCCTCTGTGAATCAAATGGCTCCCTGCCTTAACGTACACACGCGCGCGTGCGCGCACACACACACACACACACACACACACACACACACACACCCTGAGGACTCAGTGAACAATGGCTTCATTTTCCTCTCCCCACAATTTCAAGCCTATTCATGTCCCTTAACCCACCTGGCTGTCCAGATCCACAAGAAAAAAGGATTAACACCTCCAATGGAGCCTTGCTTATTTATTTACTTATTTATTTATTTATCCCCCACCTTGTAACAGATGGGTTTTTAGGCGGCTTACCGAGAGGGACAATACAGCCAGATAACATCGTTCCTAAATTCCTTAGTAGGGCACACAGAGTCTTTGTGAGCTGCCCATATCTGTTTCCCCAGCCTCAGCTCCTGCTACCTCCCCCTATTCCCCAGACATCCCAGCAACTGGATGGTCCATTGAGTTTTCTCCCATGCCTTTGAGGCTTTTTATATGCTGTCCCTTCTACCTGAAATGCCCTTTCCGGGCCAATCCTACCCTACCTTTAAAGTGGAGTTCAAGCATCACCTTCCCTATGAAGCCTTCCCAGATTACCCCAGCAGACGCATACCTGCTCTTTGCTCACTTATCACTTACATGTGCATGGTTCCTTCTCTAAACTGACGTTCCAGGAAGACAGGGACATTCTCTTTCCGGCCACATATCCCCAGTGCTTAGTACAGGACTAGATACATGGTAGGTGCCTGATAAATATTTCTTGGTTGAATGAATAAAACCTGCCATCATCTTTGCCTTCAGAATCTAAGGTCCCTTTGTCATCCTTCCCTCCATCTAGGGTTTATTGTCATCATCAGCAAGTATTCTTGCAACATTGGCTGTCCATGCATCCGAGCAAGGCCCTGGGGGAGCCTGTGAGGGATGCTTCTGGCAACGTGGTGACGGGGCCTCTGTTGTGTCTGTTTCTAGGAACGCCGTGGAGGCAGCCTTGACATAAACGACGGGCACTGTGGCGTGGGCATGGGCAGCGAAATGAATGCCGCCCTCATGCACCGGAGACACACAGACCCAGTACAACTCCAAGCAGCCGGGGTATGTGAACTTTCCCTCTCTGAGCTCAGTGGAGGAGGCAAGATGGGCGGTTGGAGGAACAGTCTTCCAGGAGAGACATCAAGTTGCATGGAGCTCAAATAGAGGTGGTAGGAACCCAGCCAGTAACTGTGGGGGGAGAGCTCCGGGGTGGAGCTGATCCTAGCCTAGCACCACCCAGTCAGTCGTTCTCAGTTTGGCCATCGGCCTCGCCCTTGCCCTTATATTTCTTGGCTTTGGTTCTAGCGGAGGGAGATCTGTTGCCTTTATCACTGAGATCCATCTTGACTCAGTTGCGCTAGGACCGAGGGCTGTTAGTTTGGGCACACTGCCATCCTGTTTGTCACTTGAGGAAAATAAAAAGACCACCTACTGAAGTAGGGAGAGTAGTTCTCAAGGATTCTCTTGGGGCCTTGGAGAATAACATCTCTTGTCAGCGAAAGTCCTGAGTCTCAAGGGTGACCGCTGAGTTCCGATGGCTTCACGCTCAGAGCTGTGCATCCAGTGTCTGCTTTCAGTTGCATCAAGGGCTTGAAATGTGCCTGGAGAGCCACGCATCATCCTTCAGGGCAGGCTGCTTACAGAGGACTTTGTCTTGATGCCAAAGCCAGCAGAGGCTCTTCCGTGTGGACGTGGCTCTAAAGGACAGCCTGGCCCTCCCCCAGCTCAGCAGGACCCTCTGTGTTTCCCCCAACAGCGTGTGCGGTGGGCCCGGGCGCTGTACGACTTTGAGGCCCTCGAGGATGACGAGCTGGGGTTCCGCAGCGGAGAGGTGGTTGAGGTCCTGGACAGCTCCAACCCGTCCTGGTGGACTGGCCGCCTGCACAACAAACTGGGCCTCTTCCCTGCCAACTACGTGGCCCCCATGATCCGATGAAGCTCTTCTGGAGGGATCAGAGGCTTTTGTCTGAAGCTGCCTGCAGAGAGGGAGCAAGGAAGGAAAGCTGGAACTATGTCTGCCTACATGTGTGTGTGTGTGTACACATACATGTACACTGTACATGCCTATGTATGCACACATTTTATAATAGTAATTTATTGGCAATTTAGTTGGTTAACTAGTTGTTATGAAAGGAACTCGGGTAGAGGATTATATCGCTACTTGTTTTTCTACTTCCCACAGCGGGTGTGCGGAAGGTGGTGGGGTGTTGGGAGTGGGGGGCAAAGAAACAAAACTGAAATTCTTCCCGTCCTTAAGATGGCGCCGCTTCCTCCTCATCTTGGGAATTTTCACTGAGTAGCTCTGCAGAGACCAACACTGAGGCGTGGGTTGTCAGCAGGGTGGATTCAGACTTGGTGGGGCATGTCCTGCTTCCCTGCAGGCCCCACTCACCTGGAGGGTTTGCAGGGCAGCTTCCTTCTTGTTCTCCAAGGATGAGTACTGCGGGGCCAGAGTCAGGATGCAGCTGCGCAAGTCTGGGCTGGAGCGGTTAGGGCGTGAGGGCACGGCTGAAGCACCAGCTTCCCGGTTGGCCTTCAGCCAAGACCTTCCTCTTCCTCAAATGAATGCTCCTCGGTTAACCCTCTTCCTTGTGGCTGACGTGGACAAACAGAGACACTGTGAGGAGTCGAGCACTGGGAAACGGAGAGGTTTTCCACAAATCTCTCCGTGGCCTACTAGGATGTAACCTCTGTGTCCCTGGCTACCAAGAAAGCAGCATCCTAGATCCTGCAAAGTGCTTGCAGAAGCCCTGGCTGAGAATTATGGACGTTAGAGCCATTGTTCTGTGGTTATGGGGCGTCTCTTCAGGGCACTATCTGTTTTCCCTCTCAGTTTTCTGTATTTCAAAGATGCCTTTCCCAGTGGCGCAGAGAGAAGCCCACCTCACAAGAGCATTGACTAGTGAGTGACTGGCTGACTGGCTGGTTGATTGAACGTGACCCTGAGAGGGAGCTGGCTTGCAGATGAGTTTCCTGTTCCCCTGACTGTTGGACCCCTGCTGGCACCTTCCCCCCACCAAGAGCTGCACCTGGGAGAGGAACCCCACTACCACTCTCTCTCTCTCTTCAGCCCTTCAAAATAGAATTGTGTTCCCTAGCGCTCACCTGGGAGCGTGAAGCACAGACCAGCATGGCAGGGAGAAAGGACAGTGGAGAAGAAAGCTCAGTGTTACAGGGGAAACTGGGAGCACACAGGTCTACACCGAGGGCACGGAGAAAGTGTGTTGGTGTTGGGTGGGGGGTTGGGGGGAGTGTGCCCTGAGACATAAAAGAAAGGGTTGGGTTGAAAGTGTTAGTGAGGGAGCATGGGGGGTGAGTGGGGATCTGTTCCTTACATGTTCCCCAACGCTTCCTGCTCTAAGGAGGGACGGGGCAGCCATTATCAAAGGTGATATAAGAAGAGTTTATGACTCCGAAGTAAATGTCAGTGTAACATAGGCCGTGTCTCTTTGACTCTGAATTCTGCAGTTCTCTGACCCGCACATCACCTTTAGAGTAAAAAAACAGAAGAAGGGACTGTGGTCGGCATTGAGAGAGAAGAGAAAATAGCCTGAGAGATGCAGGGAGAATGAGTGAGGAGGGTCTCCAGCCTCTGAAAATGAAAGCACGGGGAGGAAAAGGTAGCAGAGACATTTCAAAAGACTGAGAGAACAGCATGAGAGGCACAGAGGGCGGGAAAGAGAGCAAGAGGTTAAGTGGGACAGGTGAGAAAGACGCTGGAATCAGTGGGCAGCGAAGGTGCCGGGAGGAGAGGCAGGTGGGGAGGAGGCATTAAGGTGGAGAAATGAACACGGCAGAACCAGGGGGCAGCCACCCCAGGAATGAAGGTAAGAGAACAGAGGCAAAGGGGACTGAGTAAGCTATTTCTGTGCTAGGTAACATGAACATAAATAAAAGCCAAAAGTAATGTTTGATTTTACAGTATTTACAAACCTTGTGCTTTAAACAGCCCACAGCCTTCATCTATTTGTCTGATTATGTGGGAGAACCAGCCCCAGTGAAGACAGAGCGAACTGATTAGGTTCTGGCCTGGATTTCATGCCTTGAAACACTTCTCAAGAAAGCAATAATAAAATAAGGGCCCTTGATTTGCCAGGCTGTGCCTGGTGTCTGTGTGACTCACCCCTCAGATGGGGGCAGGGGTCACCGGCCTACAAAGGCTGACCACGCAGTGTGGACAGAGCTTTCAGAGCCCCTGGAATTGGACCTTCTGTTTCCCCCGGAGGCCATGTGGGAGTTTTGGGGTTTTTTTAATTTTATTGGGGAACAGCCATGGTCATTGGTTACACATTGCTTTCATGCTACAATGGCATCGTTGACTCTTTTTAAAGAGGGCGCAGCGCACAGTGGCCCATGCGGGGATCAAACCAGCCGCCTTGGTATTATCAGCACCACGCTCTAACCAACTGAGCTAACCCGTCACCCCTGTGAGAGTGTTTTTAATTGAGGTGCAAAAACAGCCTGCTCGTCATGCAGCTCAGTTCAGAAGGAAGAGTCTCTCTAACCACCCAGAGTAATGGACCCTTGGGGACCAAGCTAAGAGGACAAGGACCAAACAGCACGCTGTGGGGAGGGGACAATGCCCCTCCTTGGCCTCTGTGCTGCCTGGGGGTGTCCCTGGGGAGTGTTTTCTACCTGACAGCCTTTCAGTGGGCGTGTCCACCCAGCGCCTCTCACCAGCCATACAACCAGGAAACAGTATGTTGTCTCTGAATTGGACCGAAATACCCTGCGTGACTTGGATTCAGGGAACTTCCCAAGAAAATCCAGTTCCTGTTGGGCCAGTTGGTTTCCCCAACCACTTGCTGAGGCTCGCTGCATTTCAAACATCTGGCACCTGCCACTGCTCACCCACTTTTAGATGGCCTTAGGGTGCTTCTCAAAATAAACATGCCTCTGCATTGCCTGGGGAGTGGTTTACCATGCAGGTCCTGATGCAATCCTGCATTTCTACCAAGCTCTGAATCTATGTTGCTGGGTCCACAGACCACACTTTGAGTAGCAAGGGCAACGAACTTGGCGGTGAGCTAAACGGCAGCAAAAATCGAACTGGATCCCTTTTTAGGGATTTCCAGGCATCTTTCTTTGTTGCTAACAAATAAGTCACTTGGGCTGTGAGACAGACAGACATGATTCAGAGCTGGTCATTAAGATATCATTCATGTTTGGCAGCCCAGGTGACTTACTATTTTAGCATCTTCATCTCCATCAAGAATTAAGAAACTTGAGGGCGAGAGGCACTGAGATGCAATACAAACAGGGATTTCCTAATAGTAATTATTTTAAACATGAGCAGAGATTACTGAAGAAGTTGTGAAAGCTTTCTCAAGAAATCCTTAAACATAAGGTTGATTCCTATCAGGGGTGGCCTTGCTGGGAGACAGGGGAATGTCCCATGTGGCATCATTAAACCTCAGCAAAACAGGCCCTATTGGGGACATATTGGCATGGTCAAAATTTGCCGTTTGTCTTATCTACACTCTACACTTCAATCTATCTATCTATCTATCTATCTATTTTTCTATCTATTTATCTATCTATCTATCTATCTATCTAATCTAATCTCCCTAGCCTCCATATATCTTTTAAATATGCCTCAGTTTTCTCCACTTCTCTCCATGCCAGCAATCTCTCTCTCCCCTAGGTGGCTGAATTAGGCTCCCCACTTTTCTCCCTGCATGCCCTCTTGTGTCCGCTCCATTCTCCACACAGACGCCAGCGCAATGTTTGTAAAACGTGAATCTGATCGAGTCACTCCCCTGCTCATTGCACTCATGTTTAAACGCCAAGTCCTCACGTGGCCCTGTGAGGTCTGGCCCCTGCCTCCCTCTCCAGCCTCCTCTTGTGCCTCTCGCCTTCTTGCTTTCATGCCCCTGCCCCACTGGCCTTCTGCCAGCCTCCAGATGGCCAAGGATTTGTCCCCAAGTCCTTCGCACTTGCTGTTCCCTCTATCTGGAGTGCATATCCCCTGATGTTCACCTAGCTAAGCCCTATGCATCTCCAGGTCTCAAACCATCACTTTCTCAGATTGTCCTTTCCTGACCCTTAATCTAAAATAATCCTTCCCATTAGACCATCTCATGGTTGCGGTGCTTTTCCTGAATGACACATGCACAGATGATGGCACTAGACTAACTTTCGTATGACTATTAGACTGTAAGCTCCCTGGGGGCAGGGATCATCTCTGTTTCGTAAAGTGTTGTATGCCCAGGATCTAGCACTGTGCATGGCATACAGAGGCTCAATAAATACTTGTTTAATGAATGAACACGTGAAACCTGCCTGATGTCACCTCTCATTCATTCTGTAACCCAGATGTCCCCAGCTTTATAGACCTATAGGTGCAAACAAGATGATAGTAACAGTGATGCCCAAGTTACAGTAGCTTTTATGCCCTCGAAATCTCCTCCAGTTATTTCTGTGAGTCCTAGAGAGGGAGGCTGGTATTTCTCATGTGTTTAAACACCGGTCTCCTGTGTCCCCTACTCTGGCCGTGTTTGGTTGCCCCAAATATCCTCTGCTGACAACGTCTTTCCTGATGCTGTGATCCACTGTGCATTGCATCTGTCTGCTGGTGACATAGCCTGATCCTTCAGGAAACCAAATCTGCCCTGCAGTCCACGTGGCACGAGGGCTGGAGAAGGGGTGGGGTAGAGAAGGGCCTGCTCCCAATTCTGAGTAGCTCTTGTCCCTGGGCCCCAGAGAGGCACTGCTTGGTACCAGGGTCCCTCACAGTCTTTCATGATCACAGCTGGTTCCCTTCTCACCGGAGCCATCAGACAGGACAGGAGATGCCACTTTCCCCTCTATCTCTCTCGTCTGTCTCGCTCCCTATTGCCCACTTCCCCTTCCACTAAAAAGAAATGCCCCTGCACCCCTTCATTTGTGCAATAGGTACCACCTAGGGTCCTAGGGGATGTGCACCCAGTTATACAATCTGGGCTCAACTAGAATTAATTCCTTAAATCAACAAATACTTACAAAGCTTCTCCTAAGGGCCAGACATCATCAGCCAGTGGGTCCTTCCCACCTCTTGTCTGTGCCCCCTCTCTGCATCTGTGCCACTGCATGGTCACTGGCTCATTTCAAACTTCTCTCAAGTGGTCTCCCTGCCTCCTGACTGGTCCCCTCTAATCAGCCTCCACCAACTGCCAGGGAGATCTTATTAACATGCAAAGCTGATGACATCAGGCTTCTGTTCAGAAGCCTGCAGGGGCCCCCCATGGCTGTCAGACTAGAGTTTAAACTCCTCGGCTTTGCACTAAAGACATTTTGTAATCTGACTGCTGCCTGTTCGTTCAGCCGCATCTCCCATCTCTCCCCAGAGTGAGTCATGTTGTCTCAGACCTCCAAGTTTTCCCATTCTGTTCTTTCTGCCTGGACTGCCTTTCCCCCATTTATTTGTCTAGACCAGGGCTGTCCAATAGGACTCTCTGAGATGATGGAAAAGTTCTGTGTTTGCTCAGTCTGATGTGGCAGCCTGTAATCACATGTTGATTACTTGCAGTGTGACTAGTGCGAGTGAGTTAAACAGCCGTATGTGGCAAGAGGCTACCTTACCGGGCAGTATGGATCCAGACAACTGCTGCTCACTTTGAAATACTTAGCTCAGGGCTCAAGGTCTCCATTGGGAAACCATCCCAACGTCATGTCTAATGTAGACAGACACCCATCCTCTATATTCCTGCAGCATCCTTGCTCTGCTTCCATCCTGAGACTCAGAACTCTGTACTATAGACAGTGACTCATGGACCTGCCTCCCTCACTAGACTGACTATATTCGAGGGCCAGGACAAACAGTTCACCCAATAAATGGCTGATGCCTCCGTGCACTGGTGTGCCAGTAAAGGCTTAACAACTGACTCTCTGAGGGAAAGCCCTGATTTGTCATGATTCTGTGGTGTAAATATTCCAGCCACGTGTCAAGACAATGAGAAGACAAGACACAGATGGGAGAAAATATTTGCAAAACACATACCTGACAAAGTACTGTTATCCAAAATATAGAAAGAACTCTTAAAACTCAACAGTAAGAAAATGAACAACCTGATTTAAAAATGGGCAAAAGACCTGAACAGACACCTCACTGAAGAAGATATGGTTGCAAGTAAGCACATGAAAAGATGTTCAACATCATATGTCATTAGGGAAATGCAAACTAAAATAATGAGATACCACTTGCACACCTCTTAGAGAATCCAAGAGCCAAAACGCAGACAGCACC